GGGGGCTGTGGCGGCCGTTTTCAGGGGGCAGCGAAGGTCCCACCGCAGGAGCAGAGTAGGATCTCCATCCCCTTATCCACTGGAAAGAGCCAGTGGAAACCCCCCCAGATGCTCCGGGGGAGCGTTTCCCCTTTTCATTGCCCCACAGCCCCTCCCAAAGACCTGCCCATGGCTGTGGGGTACCCCACACCCCGACAGCGGTGGAGGTGGGGTGGGAAAAGGATGTGTCCTAGCATCGGGCAGCTGCCGAACAAGCTTTCAAAGGCAAAGACTAATTAGCAGTGATGAACTGCTGAGGAACCTGCAGCTTTCCCTTTTAAACAGCAGCCAGTGCCATCACAGCGAGGCCGGGGAGACGCAGCTTTGCGTGGGAGACAGTTACACGTTGCTCCACAGCCGCTAATGGGCTCTTCCCCAGTGGCTGATTTTTGTTGAATACAGGACAGCCGTCTCATTAAGCCTCTGTGAATGCAAATAGCAAATGCTAATGAACAAATAAAGCCTTCAGATACGGAGGGGAGGCGAGTGGGTGGAGGCAAGCAAGGATTTTCTTGCTGCCACCATCCCTCGGAGGCTCACGGTGACGCGGGGGTTGTTTTCCGTGTTGGTGGGGCTGTGAGAACGGGTGATGGGTGCCACAGAGGGAGGTGTTTTACCCAGTGAGCACCAGTCGTGTAATTAATGGGGTTTCTACCCTGCGCTAATCAATTTTCTTTTTTTCCTGGTTAAGTTATTTTATCTAATTAAAGTCCATGCCCCAGGAAATTCAAGCCCTTGCCGGTGAGGCACAGGTACCGTGAGCCCAAGTGGCAGCCCCGGCTGCTGGGGCCATCGTGTCTCCTGCCGGGGAGTCCTGCATCTCCATCCCCCGAGATGCTGCCAGGCTCCTCTTCTCCTGGTTTCTCAGGGAACTTAAGCTTAAAAAAAATCTTATCAACAGTTTCTTCACGCCGACGCGGGGCACGGCAGAGCCGATGCTGGTGGCAGATGCGGCTGTTTTTTCCAAATTCTCTGCGGTCCCCCACGCCCAGGTTGGTAGCTGCAGTGTTTTTCACCGAGTAGCTTTTAAACAAAGTTTTAAACTGTGGGTTAATGTACCGGCCTCCGTTCTTGTCCTAATCATACATTCATGGAAGGGTTTTTGAAAGGAAAACAGCCTTCCTAAAACAAAAGCAGTTGCAGCAAGTGCCAGATCAGCTGAAAGCAGCAAGTCGATTGTTACGGACATGGTTTATAACCCGAAAATCCTGTAAGAAAATCCAGCCTGAAGGGCCATTGGGCTTCTGAGATAAACACGAGTGTGAGCTGTCGTACAGACAAGCCGAATACTTTAAGCGAAACACTTTATTTAGTGGAAAAGATCCCCAATTGGATCATATTAATCTGCAAACTCGTGACAGTAGATTCAGCGTTAAATATGAAGATGAAAGGAATGAAGAGGCCAAAAACTTTCACTTAGAAATTTTTGAAGTTAAGCAAATATATTTCTCCTTTTACTTGAGCAATTTTAAAACCCAAAGACTTAAAGGTAAACTAAAATTTTAGTTCAAGCCGAACGTTTTCTTTTCTTTTGCGAGCCAGCAGAAGACTGGGCCACGTCTGTCCAGAGAGTTGGGGAAAAAAGGCTTTTCTTCATGTGTACTTTTGGCTGTAGCTTGATGTTTGAGGGACCCTGCAAACGTGGAGGGGAGAGCTGCTCCAGCTCTAACACATGGTGCCCCCTTAAAGGTAAACTAAAATTTTAGTTCAAGCCGAACGTTTTCTTTTCTTTTGCGAGCCAGCAGAAGACTGGGCCACGTCTGTCCAGAGAGTTGGGGAAAAAAGGCTTTTCTTCATGTGTACTTTTGGCTGTAGCTTGATGTTTGAGGGACCCTGCAAACGTGGAGGGGAGAGCTGCTCCAGCTCTAACACATGGTGCCCCTCGCCATCACGGCACCTCCTGATGGCGCAGAGTGATGGAGCCAAACACGGAGAATTATTTATAAGGCTGGGGGCCTTTGATTCCCTCTTGTTAATAAAACAGCAGAAAAAGCGCTTACGTTGGGTAGAAATGTAATGAAATGCGACTGCCAGCTACCGGAACATCCCCGGGCTTATAAGTAATATATGGCCCATATAAAGACCTGCACGGCTTCCAGGCAGGAGCTGTCACGAAGTGACATTATCCCATCGAGCTTTACATCCTTGCGCTCAGACCCGTGAGAAATAGGTTATTCACCTCGCATGGAAAACATGCACAAGTGTGCGATGCTTTGCTCGTTTTAAGAAACCTGCTTTCAGGCTAAAAATATGTTATCTGCGTTCTTTTTTTGTATTTCCTTTAGTTTAGCCACTTCCACGATTAGCTCTGACTGATTCAAATCGCGCCCAAGTAACGTTTGCTGAAAAGCTTTTTTTCTCTGTTTATCAAATACTTCTTCCACCTGTGAATCTGTTTATAAATCACTGAGCGCTTGAAAGAATGAAATGCTGCCGTAGCAAATACTCTTTAAAAAAAAAATAAATAAAACCCCCCAACCAACCAAGCAAGATTCGGTTAAATATTTACTGGTGGCACAGAAGCTGTGGGTAGAGCAGGGCTCAAACCCCCGGTGATGGAGCTGACGAGCAGGTGGTTGCAGGGGCTGGGGGGAAAATGAGCAGTGATGGGTTCCTGGCAGGGGACCCCAAGTCACGATGCAGCTCCTGGGGGTGAACCCTGATGGCACCTGGGTGTACCTAGAGCTCCTCCAGACCAGTTTTCCTTTAGAGTCCCCACTGGGATTCTCTGAGGCGAGGGTTGCTGTGGGAGCATGGTGGGGATCGAGATGTTTAAGCGCCGTCCCCATGTGTCAGGGACACCGTGGGAAGTGGGGTCCCTTGCTCCCTGCCCATCTCTTGCAGGGGAAGAAGAAGCAGAAGAGAGGCTGGAGCTGCTGCAGAGCATCTCCTGCCCCGAGACGCTGCTTCAGCCATGCCAACCACGTCCCTTATGATTTAAATTGTTTAACCCCTATAGAAGACTTTTACTTGGAAGCACCCAGAGCACTTTTTGGGTGGCAGCTGAATTGCCAGGGTCTGAGCCAGCTCTACTGCTGCTGGCCAGAGCTCTCTGCTCTCGGGCATCGCTTTGCTCCAACCAAGCTCTGCTGCACTTTAGCACAAAACTGCTGGAAAACGGAGCAAGAAGGGAGGACACATCCACTGAGAACTGCCCCGGGGGGCTACAGCATCCCCAGCCCTGCATCAGAAGTGGTCAGAGAACAGCAGAGAAACACCCAAATATATTCAAATGAGCTGGTCGACGGAGGGGAAGCGTCACGGAACCTCATGTGGGCTCATTCCTGCCGTCGCCATCGGGGTAGAGCGAGACCGCATCCGGCACTGAGCCGGAGAGAGCCTCCGCGCCGCGCAAAATGCTGCCGAAACATCCTTAACTCCTGCTCCCTGCAAGGCCCTGGCTGTGGGAAAGCGAAAAGTGGAGAACCCTGGTCTCCCAGGTAAAACGCCGTTGGATATCGCGCTTTGTTGGCCGTCATGCGGCGATGCTTTGGAAAGCAGCGGGGTCGCGCATGGGGACGAGCGCTGGGTTTGGTGAGGGATGCCTGCAGGAGCGTGTCGCCACCAAGCTGAGCTTTAGCCTTAGCCTGGGGCTGCAAGGCCTCAACTCAGATGGAATTAATATAATTTGAGGCCTTCACTTGATTTCACTTACCTTTAGGCTGAGTGTAGACATCTTGAATTCACTACTCGGTAGCAGCCAAGCGGGAGCTCTTTACCGGCCTCAGTTGCAAGAGGGCATCTTGCTGGAGAAAGGGTTAATATCCCGGGGGGTGGAGGGAGGGAGGCTCACAGCATCTTACCCAATACACCAAAAAAGTACATGTGCTGCCAGCGTTGAGCTGTTATCTTCAAAACAGATATTTAATATGCATCTGCGTATCACCTCTTCAATCTCGCCGTACCCCATCTCAGCAAAGAAGCTGCCTGCTACTGATATTTGGATTTGGGTCTTATTTTGCAGTTTCCTTTTGAACAGCTAATTTCTGAGATCGTTATCTGCTGCAGCAGCGACTCCTGCCCCACAGTAGGAAATGAGCCAGTTAAGAACGACAGCCTTTTGAGAAGGATATTTGGGGACAGAGCAGTTCAATAAGGGAGGGGGAAAATTCCAGCAAGAAATGGACTTTTAGCTTGGCAGTTGCCAAAGTGTTTGGGTAAGTGGAATTTCACAGGAGATTGGTGAGGTTATCGGGAGAGCTTTTGATGAATTACTCTTACCAATGAGTCACAGAGGAAATTATGGAATCTGACCCATAGGTTGGCTAAAGCTTTTGCTCTAACTATCAATCTATCAGTCTATCAATCATATTATTATGGCTCCTTTAATCATGGTATCAAAGCTTTAGTTGAAGATGCCTCCCCACGTTAGCCATTTATAAATAGTAGGTATATAGGAAATGAGTGAAAATCTAGAGGGTATTTTTGCAAGCGGAAGCTCACAAGAGGAATGCTCCCGATTGCTGTCCTTTATTATAAATCTTTTAAGTATTATGGTCAAAAGTCCTGAGCCAAGGGGCCCAGGTCAGACGTATGTTTTTTCTGATTATGTGCTTTAACTCCCCATAACTTCAACAGGATTTAAGCACTCACCTAGAATTAAATCTGAGGTGTTTCAAATGCAGCGGTGTTGAAGGGCCCTTGACCTTTCTGGCCGGATCATGACCATTGCAAGACACCAAACCCGTGGGCTTTTTTTGGCTACTGTCTTCTACAGGGATTTTTTCCAAGAATATAGTATTTAAGGACTTGCATGTACGTTCAGAGCCTTGTGCAGAGGGACAGCTCGGTGCCTTTATTTCACGCCTGCAACGCCAGACCGCTGCCTTCCAGCGGCAAGCCTGGTCTTCCATTGATGTGGAGCAGCGTGAAGCTCAGTGGGACCATTTTGGTTGATTGCCACCAGGACCAGCTGCTTCTCGCTGTCCCCTCCACCCCCTGGAGATCTCCAGCCCCTCGCTGGGCGTCACACTGGCCGCGGAGACGCCTGGCAGGGAGGATGAGCACTTGTGAGTGGTGAGTACGATGGGCTGGGCTGAAGAGCTTCGGGCAGCTGGTGGAGAGCTCCAGGATGGAAGGATAACCGCTGCCACTGGGCACCTTCCTGCTGGGTGTCTGGGAGCAGCGGCGGATAACGGGGATGCTGCAGCCCCCGCCCCTGCCCACCCCACGCCCCCCCTTTG